TTTTCTGATTTTAGGTTTAAGATAGTTCCAAGCTGCACCGATGATGGCCTCGTGATCTTCAAGTCATGTCGGTGCCGAGAAACTCAATGAGGAATTTTACCGTCTCGTCGATAAATCGATCGCGTAGGAAATTAAGTCGCCCTTGCGTGTAACGGTAAAATCGTGCGGATACCTGGCGAGTGTTCTTACGGCGCTATGCCCGGTATCGTCGCTTCCATAAGTCGGCGAAATTGCAGCGTGATCTCGAGCGGGCCGTTAACTTTTCGCAAGAACGGAAAACAGTTACCCCGTTCAGACATGCGTCCGGTGCATCGCGTTCCGGGGAGGGTGAGGAGAAGGGAATAAGGAGGGCGTTTCATTGACTTGAACGAACGCGGTTTAATGATCATGATGAAACGAGACAGTGTGACCGCGTGCCGCAAAAATTCGCGAAAAGGTTTCTTCCTATAACAACGATGTCGATGACAACGTGACAATCTGATTGATTTTTGCTAATTACTTCCTACTTCCTAATTGGTTGAATCATTCTCTGAAAATGGTGTGCAATTCGGAGATATTTTATGCAAAAAGTATCTTTTTTGCTTGATAAAATTGAAAAGTTATCAAGCACACAGCTCTTCAAGAAGTAACGAAAATTACAAAAAATAACTATAACGAATATATACTTGTTTTTAAATAGTATATCTTTTGTATAAATTTTAAACAAATATCCAAATTGTTAAATCACCTAAAGCAGTAGTTGAATTTACAAAAATGTAAATAATTTTGATTTGAAGAAATAAGATTTGTTATCAATTGTCAAATAAGAAGACTTAAACGATACTAAATATTTCTTTCGAGAAAATAAAAGATAAAGAAATCTCTTGTTTATATTCAGTAAATATCAGTTATTAGCTGAATCAATAAAAATGTAAATAAGTACTGATGGAAATAATTCCGAATAAAGGTAAATATTACAACGATATCGAATACAACTGATTTAATTCGATTTATATACTTTTTTAAATATGTTAATATAAATTATTATAATTAATGTTAATTTTAATGGAATTTTTGCAAAAAATAAAAAATTTTTATTCAACGTTTAAAAATGATTTTTATTTCGCACACTTTCCATTTTCCTGTATTTCCTTGAAGCAAAAGCGAACCAATGTTATTTTCGATAATTTTTACTTCTCTAAATTGGATTAAATACGATAAAAGGTAATCGTTTCGATAAATGTAACATTATTCAAGCATTAAGATTTTTCCAAGAATTTCAAGAATATACGATAACTACTAATCCAGAGAATCCACAAAATATGTAAGAAACATGCGGACGATAAAATGTCATTCCGGTAAGGACTTAACTCGATAACTCTGTCTGAATTAAAACTTTGTTTACCCGTTGCTGTCACGGGGATGCATTATCGTGCATAATTTAAACGAGCCTTTTTTACCAGCAAGTACAGGTACACGTCGCTTATTAACTTCCCGTCGAATATGATGCCTACGTAACTTCCAGTGTAATTACCGCTTACCGAGTTAATGGATAAGCATAAAGCACAAGTCCGTGTTGGAACTTGCGTGCATGTCAATGTTTTCTGATTAGATTGAGAATCGTGCCTGTTCGGAAGGCCACGGTTAGATCATGGATACGTAAAAATTGAGAGGGCGGTACAAAATTTGTATTTTATAAGAGAGAAATATTCTGATATTCTATGTACAATCTCCGAGAGAAAAAAAGAGCAGAATGATCTGATGATCAAATCAATGCTAAAAGTATAAGATATATACTATAGAATACACATACATATATCGCTGTATTTACAGATCTTCTACCATTGTTTCATAGTAAGCGTTGATTGGTCACATCAGGTTGCTTTCCTTTCTCTGTATATACACGCAGATTATATGTGAATGTGTGCTGTGTTGCCTATATAAACGAACCGTGTATGCCCTTGTTGGCCCAACCATGGGTCCATTGGCCAATGGCTATCGTGGGTCAGAGAGAACAGCCATTGGAGCCCATCCACGAAGCATAATTTGGGGATTGTTCGGTCATCCTCTGATGTTATATATTTTACGAAATATTTAACTGTTATTCTTCTTAAATAAGAATTTTACATAGGGTACTTGTTCATAACAGACGTATATAATAAATGAAAAATTATTTGTAAAAATATTATAAATAATTCTCTTTTTATCCAGAATTGTTATTATTTCTAATATTAAAAACTTTAATAATAAATATAAATACCTTAACAGTTCAATTTTCACTAAATTTTAAATAAAAATTCTGTGAAACGTCACTTGCAATTAATTGAAGAAAAACATTTTATTATCTAAGCGTATCTAATATTTAATTTCGCAATCTTTCTTTATTTTAAATTTGCATCAAAAAAATATTCCAAATTCTTCACATTTGACTTATCCTATGATGATCTATTTGATTTTCAAAGAGACTACCTGTTTAACCTACAGATTATTAAGCAAATAGAATCTATTTAAAATTCATAAAAATATATCTATTATATATTTATATATTTATTATATATTTATTTAATAGATTATTACACAAGAGAAACGATATAAAACAAATAGACATGTATCAAAGTATACTTAAGGTTACTTAAAAAATCGACGCCTATTAATCACAGTCTCAGTTTATTTACCTTATTTGACGGTCATCATATCTTTGCTTCTGCCTAGAGAATGCTAAAAGTTCACTGCTGCTTTTATGCCCGACTGCACATGCATTATTTATCTCTCCTCTCATTATAAAATCATGCGAATGAGGAGAAAAAAAGGAGACGATGCTCGTGAAGGCCGTCATTTATTTCTCGATCGTTGATAAGTTTTCGCCTGGGGATTTTAGCACGATTAGAAGCTCACGGTGGCAGCGCGAACTGTGGTTCCATCATCGCTTGATACGCGATCATTAGAGATCTGTTAAGATGTCGTCGTTTAGCGATCTTTTATTATGCATAGCTCAATTACGATAGGAGGAAGAAGGATGAAGCTGAACGGCGCGCGACTAGCAATCGCCTCTCCTATCAGCTTTACATATTGTCCAACGATGCGTGGATAAACGTAAGAGATAATTTATCATTAGGCGTTACGCAATTAACGTTGATTGCGCATCTCCTAGAGACCGTATTCGTGTAAGCGCGTGGAAAAACTTCAATCCTCGCGAGCGGGCTCGCGAAGGTATATTAATTACTTCGCGATTACGCAATAATGCGACAGTGCTCCGTGCGGTCGTGGTAATTAAGAACGGAATAAAAACATCTTCGGAGACTTCCTTCTCTCGTACGTGCGTTAATTACGTGCGCGGACACACGTGAAGGATACGCGTGTAAGTTACGCGGCGTATACCTAAGAACCGAAATATATTACGCTTTTAAATATTCCCTCGGTATATTAAGGTCGTCGAATGTACTCGGCGCGCGATCGTGTTACCTCCACCTGATTCAGCAACGAAGAAAAATCCGTACCTCAATCTGGCGCCGCGCGTTGCGAGAGATCTGAGATATCTCGCTACTACGTATTCAATCGTAGATATCTGAATCAATCTTAATTAATTGACCCAACTAATCTTAGAGAACCAGTTAAGTGTATTCGTAATTTGATCCGGAAAAATGCGTGTAAAAATCTACTTGTTTAAATCGCTACATTACATATTCTAGAAATATAAATTTTACATTTCCGCGTTAACGAACTCTACTCTTTTAATTTATCTTTTTTTGAAATTAGAGAAATGTAAGACATACGAAATGTCAAATAAAAATCGAGCGAGAATTGATTCTAATCATATAATATTCAGAAGATAAAATTTTGAAGAATATCGCCTTTTATTTTTTCTAAAAAGGAATGCTTTTAATAATCAGTATTCAATTTTTCAAGAAGATTTGCACATTTGTAAAATTCTTGTATCATTCAAAACATATAACTTACTTCGCGCACGATTTTCTCACACATCTCTCTCCTTTAAATATATTTTTGTTTTTTATGTGGAAGGAAGCATTATCATTCTTTCAGCTAATCTTTTTTTCTTAGTCACTTTAGCCAGGTAGAAATCTATATACAGAGTGTCCCATATAATTCGCATATTACTTTCTATAAACTGAGTTGAATGGAAAAACGCCCTATCATTTTATGATTCATATATTCAAGTTCGAGTGAACTCTAGTAACCTTTTCATCTCTTACAGTTTTCAAAAATAGAATGCAGTCCGCATCGTATTATCTTGTTGGTAGACGGATATATTGACCTGACGGTGTAGTAGTTGGGAGGGATTTGCCAATATAAGTATATTACCGCTATAGGATGTGATTGAAAATCTGGTTATTTTGTGTGAACTAAACATGGAGAATGACTCTATGTATACATGATTTTTGTATTCGTCCATGCGACAACATGGCGCATGGACGAATATTATGTCAAAATGGCTGAAGAAATAAAATAAAAAATCAATTGACATTGATAAAAGATTGAGAATGTTATCATAAAGTCATTGTAGTCGAACAGTTATAGTCATTTTTAGATTTGGATTTTTATTAATAACTCATTATAATTTAATTCGCAAAATGATAAAGGCCTTTTTGATTTAATATTTACTCTATTTAGTCATCACGAAAAGTGATACAATTGTGATTAGACATTTATATATATATATATATATATATATATATATATATATATATATATA